CCTTTGCGTCAGAACCCCACAGGCTAACGGAGCAATGAGTGCAGCGAACGGGACCACGACCACAGTCCCCTTCGGGATGCATATGCTCTCGGTGAAATTACCGGCAGCTGTGCGCAAGGGTTCGCTGAGAGGGATCACGTCTTCTTGCATAGCCTGTCATAGTCAGTTTGAGTGGTTTGTATTGCTTTGAGTTCGGAAGTACGCACTGATCGCGAGATCTCTTTGACCGGTTGCGGTAGGAGGCGAAGAACTTCATTTACCACATCACGCGGTCCAGATAGGGAAGTTTGTTCGTAAGGTCGTCATATGAGAGGGTTGGCCCAAACTCTAAGCACTCGTTGCGAAGCTTCTTTTGTATGTCTGGATTCTGCGCAAGTTCTACTAAAGCCCACTGTGGAGTTAAGAAATATGGTTGGACTTGCGAACAGTTTGAAACTTACTGTCATGCTTACTGATCAAACGCGAGTAATGGTGAATGTATAATTCTCTTGCTAGATGGATGCACATTACCTGAAGTGGTCTCAAAACTGACGAGAAGGAGAACGCTTGCCTGGCGGAGACGGAAATCAGCACCCCATCATTCAGAGGAAATCTATAATTCGTGTACCTCATCTAGTACTTCTTGTGGAGTCAGCCCCGCGCTCTCACCAGATTCCTCCGCTTTCACTATACATCAATTTTAAGGTTTAGAAATTCGCAAATGAACGATAGGACTCACAGAGTAAACCCAGACACGATTTGTCCCCCTTCTCAGCACCGCCAGTATCCTTTTCCTTGCGCGTCCGTGATAGCATCTCCTGGCATATTTTGCCAACTATCAGGCGAAGCTTTTGGGTGAACCGCATGCGAGGCAATGGCAGCTTCAGGATGGAAGGAAAGTTTTGTGCCAATATGATCAAGTTGGAAATTTTGGCGGGTGAACCAAATGCATTCAGGACGTGCGCGACGTCCGAGTCATTTCCATCGAGTGCGCCGAAGTCATGGGACAGGAGGGCTATGCCTGCACAGTCGAGTCTATGTGGCAGGTGATGAATAAGACATCAGCGGGTAGAAGGGAATAAGTATACATACGAGATATGATTCATCCTGTATAATATGTCTGAGAGTGCAGCTACGAAAATTTGGAGGAAGAAAAGTACCATTGTTGAACATCAATTACTGCGCAATGAGTTCTTTGATTCAATTCTATCTCACCGTCCCAAGCGATCACTATCTATAACACATTAAATAAAGTGCAAGGTGAATCGGTTAGTGACTGACCTTGTGAGCGGCACATTGGAAAACAGATGTCAAGCTGCGAATAGCAGCTGCGGTAAAGGCGGGGTTGAGAGCCTTGCGCTGCCTAACAAATGAGAGGAAATGACATGGATTTAGCTCAGCACCACTTGAAAGTCTCACTTCTTACCTTTTGTGACTTTCACCATCGGCCCACAATACTCCTCTTCCGATCTATTATTTGCATAAGCGCGCTGTTACCCTATAGCTGTACGACATACCGTTGTTTGAATGACGATCTTGCTGAACGGAGTTTGGTTATACAACCATGTGTCTCTTGCAAAGAAATGAGAGATTGCTTTTGGGTCCCATAATATAACCCTGGACCGTCCAAAGATATCCGGGACCTTATACACTGTACCATACTCCCTAGCCCAACGTTCGTACAGTTCAGTTGTAGCGGTGGAATTTAACAGTATCTTGGCGAATCCAAACACCCAGCCTGGGCTCTGAGGTCCTCGTATGGGTGTCCGAGTCGTTCGTTGTTTTCGGCGATAGACTTGTAGGAGATAGAGGGACGCCAGTATCACAACCGCGACAAGTGTCGTTGAGCCTGGTAGGGGTGAGATCAGGCAAAGGTCCTTAGAAGGTAAGCCAAATGTCCCTGGCGCAGTGCTTACTTTGCAACAAAGCCATTGCTGTTGACAAGATGAATCAGTACCCGCTCTCCAATGCTAGTCACAGGGTGGCGTCTGCATCAGGGCCCATCAGTGAAGTTGGCAACGGTAAGTATCTGCGGAATTTCTGCGGAACCAATATTAACAACCTGCGGTGTAATAAAATAGGATTTCCACCAAATGAAAGAAAAGAGCTGGTTGAACTGGTTCACCGGGCCTAGTCAACTGCTAATATCGGACCGATCTATGTAGCTTCACAGGGTCCAAACAGTCGGAGTATGATATCTGTGGCTGTGACGGCTGGCCCTGCCATCGACTCTCATGCTTCAAGCTATCTGAAAGACTTTGATTCTGGAGTTTGTCATCTTGCATACGAGTGACTTGGACGTCCATATCGTGAGTCCTTGAAACGTTCAACCTCGAGGTGAGCAGAATGAGTACATATACCACTACACGTTAGAGCACACCAAATTACTCACTCTCGCATTCGTCAGTACAAGTAATCTCATCTTGACATATATCATACATTACCAGGAACCACATACACATCAGTTTCCAGCATGTCCGAGCAGCTCCCCCCATATACTACGCTTCTCCAGCCCGAGCCCGAAACACCGCAGTATACTCTCCCAGAGACCTTCAACATCGGACGATGCAGCACCCAGCACCTCGTCCGCCCAGATCAGCTTAAGGCCCATCTTCAGTTGCTGGCAGCGTTCAGCCACCTTAAGCAGCGGGTAGTTGCCAATGAGAGCCTTGCTGCGGGATTAGAGTCGGACAGCGAGAAACGTTGGGTATGGTTTGTTAATTTGGCTGTTGAACGGTGCGTGCCTTACTAGCGTTCTGCGTGTGCTTACACTGTTAGTTCACTGACTGATGGAGCGCAGGTTCGAGAGGTGGTGTTTGATGATCGAGCAATCTGATACAGTGGAGCAACGTTTGCCTCCCATCGATGTCACCATGGTGTGGCATGCCTATCTCCTGAATCCGAGGCAAGCATGTCTTTAGTTCCTCATTAATGACGGACCTCATGCTTTTCTGTCTCATCTACAGCTGGTATGCGGAAGACACCGCGCGGATCTTTAAGCTGAAACCTCTCGCTCATTTCACCAACTACTTTCCTAACCTTCTCGTACGCCACATCACTTTGAATATTGTCCCGCGCTCACTAGATGTTGTGCCAGGATAACCCTGATATATTAACCACTGACGCACCACAGTATGAACGCGTTTCTGCTTGGGAACACATTACGAAATCACCGTATGACCCATTCGAATCTGCTGCGGTTCTCACACACAAATCTATTGAGTGCCCTTACTGTTACCGCACTGTCCTTTCGCGTATGTCCTTTGTGCCTCATGGTGATTTATTCTGACAGCCAACCGTAGCATTCTTGCAGCCTAACGGCAAGGGATACGCCCAGAGTGACTTTCACATCGAATGTGAATGTGCTCAGCCGATCACTAAAGAAGTTCTCGGCCTTTACAAGTTTGCGAAAAACATCGTCGAAACAACAGTACCTGATACATATTTAGCGTGGGTGTCGCGTTGCTGATCATCTTGTACGACATCTAATGCAATTTCGTATATACAGTGGAACTCTTCATACACCCCACAGCACCTACGACATCGCGCGCGGAGACACGATCAAGGAGCGTGTCCTCGACTCAAATATCATTTTCCAGCAGAACGAGGCAAGTGATCGCGCGCGCCAGATCTTGATAAACGTCCAGTATGACGCTATGCGCATGCGTACCGTGCTGAACAAGTATTTGAAGCCAAGATTGTATGTCCTATTTTTGTTGCAATGTATATGTTTTTCTAATTGAACGACAGGTTGAATAGGATGATGGGTGCCTACACGGACGACAGGGTGTTTTCACTCGATTTGGTCGGTGCTGTGAGTACACCCTTGAAGTTTGATCGTATCCAAGGACTAATGTATGTATCTAGGTCCTCCGGCAAGGCTCGTTTGTGAAGAAGATGGTCAACTTCGGATGGACCGAGGCAGGATATTTCGCCAACGAGGTGGACGCAGTAGCACTGCAACATTGCGTAGCTCGGTATCACGCGTAGGTGCTTGCTTCTTTTTTTTTACGGACGGCACAAAAACATTACTCGGCAGCTTTTTGAACATGATGGCAGAGTCTCCTGGCTCGTTCTTCGTGCCCACGCTCGACATCGATCTCGGGTGGCATACTCATCAACTTATGGCGAGTCAGTATCAAAAGGACTGCCTCTCTTTCGTAGGACGATATGTCGATCAGTAGGTGCTGACGAGTACAATTCGGGAACACACATTGAATACATGTCTTTCAGTGATGATAAGGTGGAAGAAGGTCACCTCGCGACCTCCTTCGACCTCACCTGTCGTGCTTGGAATGTAAGCTATCATCCCTTGGATTTAGATATTTCCATCAAAACTTCTCTAAATCGTACCAGGAGCGTTATCATGTACCCTACATGTACTGCGGGTGTCCACTACCTGGAGATACAATCGGCCAAAAGCTCCGATGCCTCCTTTTCTCTCAAGCCGCCAGCAACGTGCCTTCAGTCCCTCCCAAAACTGACGCACGTGCTGCCACGCACCCAAACGATCACAACGTTGTGTTTACCTTGCACAACATGTCCGCAAACCTGCGTCGCCGGGAGAACCGTGCATGCAAAACAGGGGTGCGGAGGCTGCGGGCAGAACGAAACGGGAGGGCTGTGAAGAAGGATGGGAATGTTGATCATGCCATTGCATGTTTATATCCTGTGCCGATGTTTCGTTACTACCTCGGTGGCTCCGTTACTGCTACTGGGGCGATAGTGAATGGAGGTTTGAGGTCTGTAGCGGTGAGTGTTATTGCTGTGTTTGGAGAATGATGTGTGCTAATACCATGCTTACAGGGGGCAGATGGCTGTTCGATTGGTGCCCCACCGTGTAGCTGGTCTGATGCTGGTGGGACGGGATGTGGAGGTGGCTGTGGAGGTGGTTGTGGTGGCGGCTGTGGTGGAGGTAGTGTGCATGCTGGTGGGACGGGATGTGACGGTGGTTGCGGAAGCGGATGTGGAGGTGGCTGCGGGGGTGGTTGTGGAGGCGGATGTGGGGGCAGGTAAATCAAACTGCCTGTAATATTTCGAGTGTATCTATGCATGTAAGCTTATCTGTGATGCTCTGAAGATGTTTGCTCGGTATCAGATACCGTGTTGTGTCTTGATTGGTCTCATAGCATCATGACAGTGACTTCGTGCCAGCTATGTAGCAGTACCGATATCAGTCGATTGCTTACGAGTTTGAATTTTGTTCTGCAGCTCATCACCCGCGCCATCCATCATCTCAAGATCACCGAACTCGAACTTGCAGTGGGGATAATCGCTTTGGTTCTCAACTTCTTGACCTACGCTTTTTTACTCTATCTCTCTTTGAGACTCCGAGCTTGGAATTAAGCCCGATGAGTATCATTGTCGTTCTATTATGTCGTACCTTGCGGCACGTGCTATCCTCTTGGTCGTGTCGCATTTAGTATCACGACAATTCAACTATTCATATTACACCAGTACTATCATTGTAACTCGTCACCTCCAAACGTCTCTGTCAAATATTCAGTGTATCCTTCAATCAATGTATGAGAGACCCTCTCGGCTTCCTGAGCGATTCTGCAATTCCTAGGAACGTTTCGGCAAGTTGTACCTAAAGACGACGTTAAACACGCCCCACATGCGTTCGTACAGTAGCACTCTTACCGTGTCTAAGGCCTGCGTATATGAAGACGCGACTGTTGCTGCCGGTGGGGCCAAAGGATCTCTTGGGGCGTTGTTCTGGATGTCAAGTGCAATTTGAGTCATTCGTCGCAAGGAGGTAGAAGCTCTATCTGGACCGAATGATACTGCGTGGAAAGACAAAGCTTTGCTAGAGATTGTGTTACAGGTTGCCAATCCAACCAAACAAATAGGCCACGAACCCAAGACGAACCGCGGAGCGGCACAAATCTTGAACAGTTTGATCCGCAATATGGCACTCGCCATCCGACAAAAATATGATTACAGGGCTCCTAAAAGCAATGTTAAAAATCTTGGACGTGTTTAAGGGAAGACCAACGCACCTTTCCGTGCTCCAATGTTGTTCCATGACCGATTGGGCCCGCTGAATTGCTGCAGTAAAGTTCGTGCCTCCATCGGCGTCATAACGCAAAACGGCATCAAGTAATTGGTCTGGAGAACTGACGAAATCGTGTACTAGGGCATTCGCAATGGAATGATCAAACAAAATAACACTGTATGAGTCGCGTCGGGCTGCTTGTTGACCACCAATCGCTACAGCACGGGCAGACCAGAAGCTATATAGGGAAGACAGCACAGCACCAAACCGGTTGTTAGAGCGTCGCACGATTCTGTCCGAGGCAGGCGTGTTCGGGAGGGGATGTCTGTCACCAGAGGCCATGGAGCCAGATCTACTAATAATCAGCAATAGCAGCCAAAAAAACATTGTCTCGCACCTATCAGCTACAAAGATTCTGGATGTATATTGATTAACATCACTGCAACTGGACCTAGCAGATCACTCACACATGGAATGGTTGCTGCATGATCACAGGGCTCCTGCATGAGAAGATATGTCCGTCATTGGAAACATATCCTAAACCAACTTGGGCATTGTTAGGATCCATCGGCAGGTGAAACAAAGGCGAAGTACAATAGGATGGCTGAGCAGCATTTCCGGCTGCAGCAGTATGCTCGGGGCCTGACAAGACACTAAATCGCCAATGGGACAAGCACAGAATGAACCATACCGCCACACATCAAGTCACTAACAAGAGCATGGATTCAATTGTGTTATCACACTTTGAAACATCCAAAACACACCACTCGGCGAAATTTGCTTGCTCCTCGCGAGAATAAGGGCCTTTGAAGCCTGCGGACTGTGTAAGCCCAGTGAGTACAACCACAAAATTACTCACCAGCCTACCGCCAGAAGATATCGTGTGTCAAAAAATCTTTGGGACGGTCCGGGTGTGGTAACAGTCTCTTGAAAATATGCTGAGCTTCATTGTTTCCTATGTATGCGGCGGCATCCGAGGCGCGACAGTAGTCAATGTGAACATGTCTGCCTACCGCCTGACAAACGAGGTTGCACATCATCGGTGCGCCCTCATCATTTGACGAGAAGCGACGGCCTTCGACCTCGAGACCCGTATCATCTGGGCCATCGACTGCCCATCGTGACGAGGACATGGATCCGTGTCTCGTTTCATGCTCTTGCTGCGGATGACCTGATGTAAGGGTTCGTGAAACGTGACTGCCGAGGTGCACA